CTGGATATCCAAACAGACAACATGCAAAGAAGTAAAACAAGCACTTTTTGCCTATGCAATTATTTCACTGATTTTCAGAACAAATTCATGAATTATGTAAGGGTATTACCATCCTTATTTTACATTGATGAAGCTGAAGCTTCGGTTAAGCAATTGATTCAACATCGTACGTGCGGAATAGGTGAATAAACTTCCGTATTAGCCATTAACTTCTTTTCAATTTGCCTGTCAACTAAAGCTAGCCTGTCAGCTAATAAAGCCTCACAGAGTTTGTTGGCAATGGAGCTCAGTTTTGAAGAGACAGATTTGTAAAGAGAATCTGAAGCTGGAGCTCCTTGGAGGAAGACAGGTTTGGGGGGCCTCCTGGACAACTGGAAAGCTTCCTGGACCATTGCTTTGCAAAAGAACAGGAGTAGGAATGGTGCAAACTCAGAAAGGTGAGGCAGAGAGTTCAGAAGACATTTTCTAGGAATGCCTAGAAAGGGAATCTCTGCACTGAATTATGCACTCCATTAACATATTTATCACTCGAATGCCTTCCCTAGAAGGCAACCTCAAGGAATTTTATCAGGACACTGTCCAAAGACACAAAGCATTTGACCCTTGGCTATTTATAAGGGGCCTTGTTTTATTCTGGCTTTTCTTTTTGTCAGGTTTTGCTTTTTCTGGTGTGAGTGACAGATGGTTGCTAGCATCCTGGCCCACATTTCGTCTTTACCCCCATGAAGAGAGTCTGAAATTATCTAAGATACTACCCTGTAGACCATGTTGGCACCTTTCAGGGATATTTGATATTTTGATACTTTTCAAGAAGAAAATCTTCTCAGAGATTAAATAAATTGCTAAGAGGTTGTTTTTGGGCTTGTAAAACCATGATGTATGGAAGAAGACAACCTTGCTGACTTCTGTTACAGTCCCTTCTTTTTACTTTTCCACGTGTGCCATCAGTGTTCTAAGTCTCCTTATCAAAAGCAAGCAAAATAAATATATTTTTTTCCTTTGAATTTAAAGCATTGAAAAAAATGCATTTTCTTTGCTTAGAATCTCTTTTGTGGGCAAAATAGACTACATTAATTGTACAATTGTGTAGTGTTTATTTGAAACCTTGTCATTCCATCCTTGGAAAGATGAAAGGCTGGTGTATGTGACCATACACTCCATTTGTTCTCTTGCCTTCTTCTTTAGGTCAATTTGGTTGTTCCACTCAGAAGAGAGTCCATTTGGATTTCTATTTTTTTTTTTAAGGTTTATTCATTTATTTCTGAGAGAGGCAGAGACAGCGTGAGCAGGGGAGGGGCAGAGAGAGAGGGAAAGAGAGAATCCCAAGCAGGCTCTGTGCTGTCAGCACAGAGCCCGATGCAGGGTTCCAACTCATAAAACCAAGAGATCATGACTTGAGCCAAAACCAAGAGTTGGATGCTTAACCAACTGCGCCACCCAGGCACCCCTGGATCTCTGTTTTTAATGGGTGCTTCCATATTCCCCCTAGAGATAAAAAATTGCCGGAAGAAGATACCTAATGTTTGGAAAATAATAACAGTAATAATATTTCCAGAAATGTTTTCTATCCATTAAGTTATTTAATCCTCACAATAAACCTATAAAACACTTGTCCTGATTTTTCATTTGAGGAAACTGAGGCTCAGGAAGGGTAGGTAATTTGGACAACATCACAGAGTTGATAAATTGTAAGGCTTCATTCAAACAAAGGTCTATTAGCCATAATTCTGTTAGCTATTGTTAAATAACAGTTGATGACAAAACATCTCAGTGATACACAACAGCAAGCATTTAATTCTTAATCCTGTGTCTGTGGATTGATTGGTAGCTGGCTGACCAGGCTTGGTTCAGCTGGTCTTGGTTCCAGTTGCAGCTTAGATTCAGGTTTGCTCCACAAGTCTTTCTTACACTGTAGGACCAGTGAACTCTACGTGACTCATCGCAGGAGGCAGTAGCACAAGAAGTCAAGTCTAACCACACAAGCATATTTCAAAGGTCTATTCGCATCATATTTCCTAACATTCCATTGCCCAAAGCCCAGCCTCAGTGATGTGGGGAGGCATTCTCTTTTCATCGAGGTGAGGGATGGAGGCTGGGTGACTACCGAATAATCACTTGATCTACCTTAAAAGCCTATGTTTTCTTTGCCCTTATGAATTTATAAATATTGAAAGCACAGGTGGGATGACCCTCTCAGTTAAGAGTCAGCCATCTTGTGTATGCTTGTCATGGGGGTTACACACTGTCATTTCTACTTACTGACTGTAATTACCCCATTTCTCTGCTCTAGAGGTTGTGTGACTGTTTGTCTCTTCTGTGCCATCATCTATCCTTACCAGCACTGAAGGGGAAGATCATCAATAGTTGAATATAGGAGACTAAGGTTATGATCATTAGCCAAGAATGGAATCATTTTTTTGTTTGTTTTTATGCAATTTCAATTAGCTGAGGGCTTTGATGGGGAAAATGTTTCCAGTACAAGGCCTAGTCCATTAGAAAGCAATCAAGTGTGTGCCCCAAATAGCAAGACATAAACTCTTCTAAAAGCAACAGATTGCAAGGAATATACTGGCTCAAGTAGTACAACCAAAGGAGCTTCTTACCTTCCTCTTTCTCATGCTCAATAGCTGGCTTGAAGTGAGGATGCTCCTTAGTGGCAATTCAGTGGGAAACTTAGATCTCAATAGATATCTCAGATAGCCTGGGTTATGAGGTAGAGATATTGCATACGCATCTCTCATGCTTGGTCCTTGGTAATTTGGATATTAAGCCAAATTACGAAAATATCATAGAATAGAGGCAGAATTCCTAGTTTTAGTCGAAACCACATCAAAAACTTAGTGGCTGGGAAAACACCATCTAAAGTTTCCATGACTAGATTTTCCTCTTCAACAAATTAACACCATATAACCTTTCCTTGCCTTTTGCTATTGAATCTTACCTGTGTCACAAGAAGTGACTGAAAAGATTAATTTCCACAGGAATAAATTAAGTCAAGTGATTTACCCAGCAACTCTTGTCCTTTCATGTTTAGGTTTATAAGGGCTATGTGACCTTCAGGACTCAAGGCTCTAACTCTGCTTCTTGGCTTACAGTTGGCTTGAGGTCTTTGTTCGGTGTCTCCCATTTCTGCCTGATGCATGCTAGTGTCTCTGATGTGATTATCCTAGCATTTTTGTTTCTCTTCTCAGCATTTTTTTGAATGTCATTTCTTTACAGTTTTGAATTGGATTATCTGTAGAAGATTTTATGTGCTTTCCTTTCTCTGCCAGTACACACAAGCATGTTCATGCAACAAATGGCAACTCTCTACACAGTCTTACCCAGTACCTTTCACATTGTGTTAAAATGACTTCACTGCTAGTTATCTGGCTTTCCTATAGGACTTCCTTGTGCGTCAACATAATTTTGCTACACATTATTCCATCAGAGCTTGAAACACACTTTCAGGGAACTTGCAAAAACTGTGTTATAAATACCGGACCAAGATCATTGAGGTAGATCTGGCCTCAGTGGGGACAATGGTATCACGTGCACGTAGAAAACATCTGGCATCTTCACCCTTCCATGGCACGAGAAGGTGTGTGGCCCCACAGCAGAATTCCGTGCATGTCAGAGCTACCATTTGTCAGTTGGTAGTGTGAATGGGAAATGTGTAAAGTGTTTTAGGTTTTTGGAGGACAGGCAGCTTGTCTGTGCCAACTATTGTTGTTGTGAAGGAATACCAATCTAAATCTACCTATATGGTTGGATCGCTGTACTTGTTTTTTTCTTTTAAACATGGCAATTGGAGAGAGGTAAAATACCAGCACACTGTATCTTTGCCTTTTCTCCCCCCGCCAAAGCAAATTTGTTGGGTGTATTTGCTGTAGCAGTGCAGTAAAGAGGCGTGTGCCTATTGTGATAGGCTTTCTTTGTCGTGTTAATTTTAATAGCAGTAATCATCTACATTGATTTATAAGGAGGGAATGGAGTGGGGACATTGATTCAAAAGAAGAGAATAGCTATGAACAGTGTGATTTGTAGTGGTATTAAAGCAAATGATTCAGATTTAGTTTGTACATTCTAAGGTTGCTTGTCTAGTGGTTAGTTGTCGAAATGTATTCAGCAAAGAGCAGTCAGTTTCTCACTGAGAAACACACCCCTGATAGAATGTATAATTTATTCTGTTGAGGCCAGGGCCATATTTTGTGCTTGATATGTGGGAGAATGCTACCCGCCCATCAGTGGTTCTTAGGTAGGAGAGGATTGCTTTAGAATGAAATAAATAACCTTATCAAACACTAATTTTATGGGACAAGAATGTAAATGCAGTGAGTAATCAGAGAGTATGTATATAGCAGCAAGCTAATTTTCAAAACCGTCATCACTCAGTTTGCAAAATATCTTTCCTACTTAAGAGGATGAAACTCAGCTGCCACAGGGAGTATAATATCCTCAGTGGCCAGTTATGATGTGAAGAAAACAAAGTAGCTATTTGTTATGAAATAGATCCCTCATCTGGTGATCATGGTAGATTTACTGTGCTTCCTGAAAATCTTTGTTGGTTTCCCAGCCCCAGTTTGGTGTCTTTTCTCAGTTTTTCCATAGCCCTCTGCATTCCTGGGTCACGCTGAGATGTAAGTGTTGCCTACCTTGGCTCTCTCTACCTTGAAACCGTAAACTACTTGGAGTCAAGGTCCAACTCTTTCCCAGCACATAGCAGATCGATACATGTACTAAATATTGAGTGAGTGAAATATTTCCGTGTTAGTTGAATCCCAGAAGTTTGTCTAATGTACACAGGTGTCATCAGGAGCTCTCAGGTTTTAATCTGATTCCAACACCACCGCCTCACATAGTTCTGCTTTCCCCATCTTTAATTTGACAGGTTTTAACGAGACATATAACCTCCAAGTATGTTCTGAGTTTTGGTGATTTATTTATCTTGAACCCCCAAGGTAACAGATTATTTCAGTAATCATTATTTCTTACCAGTAATGTGTGTTTCTATAGGGAGCATGACTTCGGCAACTTCACCGATCATTTTAAAATGGGACCCCAAAAGTTTGGAAATCCGGACACTAACAGTGGAGAGGCTTTTGGAGCCACTTGTTACACAGGTAAGGCATGGTTTGAAACACTTTTGTTACATGTGTATGTTTCTATTGTGATTATATGGTAACACTTCAAAAACCTTAGAAATCTCTAAGCAAATAAATCATGCCATAATGCTGATCACTGAATGTACGTTACTGCCAGAACTATGGACAGTTTTATGGCCCAATAACATTCTGAAGTGCCTTTTAACAAACTCATCGTATGATGTTTGAAATTAGGTTGATGAGATAATTAAAGAGGGGGCCTTGGTGAAGGGGACTCTCATTTGCAGTAATGAATTCAAAGTCTAAATAAACTATCCCTAGTTCACTTTCAGATGCTAGTGCACAGTTGGGAAGAACTGTTAATATTTAAGAGCAAAGTGTATTACTTTTTCTTTAGTTTACGTTGGAGAATTTATCATGTTGGAAAGTTGAAATGTTCCATTTTTTCTGTTGTCACAGTCACCACATTTCCACAAGATGACTGTCAACAGAAAAAAAAATATCCTCAGGATTTAAGTTTTAAAAGTTGGCTTTTAGTACCTTAGGAAGCATATTATCTGCTATGTTAAACTCAGAAATTCATGGAATGTGAAAATTCAAGGTTTTTATGGTATATTTTTAGGGAGGTATACCAAGTTAAGTGGAGGCCCTTCATACTGGTTTCCTTTAACTACTATAACAGAGTACCACAAGCTTGGAGTCTTAAAGCATCACAGATTTATTACCTAGGTTCTGGAGGTCAGAAATCCTGAAGTCAAGGTGTTGGTGGAACTGCATTCCTTCTGGAGGTTCTGGCAGAAAGTCCGTGTCTTTGTCTCTTCCGTCTTCTGAAGTCCACTTGCCTTCTTTGATGCCTTCTTCGTATTCAAAGCCAGCAATGTAGCATCTTTAAATCTCTCTCTGACTCTGATCTCTGCTCCCTGTCCTCACATCTCCTCATATTTCCCTCTTATAAGGACCCTTGTGATTATACTGGGCCCACTCAAACAGTCCAGAACAATCTCATCTCAAGATTCTTAACCACATCACAGCCATTTAAGATAACATATTCACAGTTTCCAGGAAGTAGGACACGGACATCTTTGGGAATCGTTATTCAGCTCAGCATATTCTGCCCTGTGCCCACCCCCCTACCAAAAATTCACATCCTTCCCACATGGAAAAGACCATATCCCCAGATTCCCCAAACATCTCAACCTTTTATATAATCTTCTCAAGTCCAAAATCTCATCAAAATTTCATCAGTTTAAAAATTACAAATCTCGTCGTCTCAATCATCTAAAGTAGGTTTCGGTAAGGTTCTGGTTAAAATCCGTTCCTGAACAAAATTCCTCTCCATCTGTTACCTGTAAAACTAGAAAACAAAATATATGCTCCCGAAATGCATTGGTGGCACAGACATAAGAAAATAGTTACAGATGTTCCCATTTGAAAAGGGAGAAAGTGGAAGGGGGAAAAAATGGTTATCAATCTCAACCAATTTAGAGATCCAGCTGAGCAAATTCCCTCAGTTTTGAAAGCTTGGGAATAATCCTCTGTGGCCTGAGGCTTTGCCCTATGCGCCCGGCTCTACACCCTAAGAACTGCTATTCCTTTTTCATGAAGGGTAGCGCATATTTTCAGCTGAATATTTTATCAGCACATTTGGGAGTCCAGCAGCCCTTTTGAATTGTATCCTTTTTGTCACTCTCAATCCAAACTGGCAGTGTAGAAACACTGGATATAACATTCTTCAGAAACGTGTAGTTCTCCCCTGTATGTCTCTGGGGTTCACTCTGTTAGAAAACAGGCTACTTCACAGAAAATTCCCAGATAATCCCATCTCATTTTTGGCCTCTGCTGAAATGGCTGGAGATCCAGCAGTCACATGCCTAAACTCTTCAAAGAGCACTCTGTATGACTGAATACCGTGAGCTTTCAGTCCTTCCAAGGCACAAGCCAAAGGTTATCCAGACATACAACTGGCTTTCTCTCCAGATCATGCTTTCCTGAGAGTGAGTTTTCTAATTCCGGTGCCTTTTGCAATCTACATATGCTGAGAATTTTCCAAATCCTCAAGTTCTGGTTTCTTTTAGCTTAACTGTTATTTTCTCAATTTCTTTCTTTCTTCTCACATTTTACTATAAGCAGGGAGAAGAAACCAGGTCACTTCCTGGAAAACTCCTCAGCTAAAATTCCATCTTCATTATGTAAAATTTGGATTTCCGCATAAGTGTAGGACACAGTTCATCCAAGCTTTCTGTCACTCTTTCTTCCATTTCCTAGTACCATGTTCTTTATTTTTTTTGTGAGCCCTCACTAGCGTCTCCTTTAGCACCTGCCTTTCTACAGTCTTTTTATGATGATTTTGATATCCTCTCAGATAATAGAGGCTTTCTCCACTATGTACCTCAATTCCTTCTGAGTCCTTGCAAGCAAGGCCTTGGTAGCCCTGTTTTTACTGAGTCTGTTCAAGGAAAACCTAAATTTTTCTATTAAAATTCTTTAAATTTTTCTAGCCTCTGCCTATTATCCATTCAAAAGGCACTTCCACATTTCTTAGGTATTTGTTATAGCAGCACCCTACTCCCCAGACCAAAATCAGTATGTTTCCAATTGCCTTTCTAACAAATTACCACAACCTTAGGAGTTTAAAACAACACACATTTATTACTCTCTAGTTCTAGAGGCCAGAACTCCTAAAGCCAAGGTATTGTTAGGGCTGTGTTCCTTAAGGAGGACATTCCTTCCCTTTGTCAGCATCCTGTGTGCACCTGCATTCCCTGGTTGTGGTGCTTTTCTCCTTCCTTAAAGCCAGCAGCATAGTACGTTCTCCAAATCTCTCTCTCTCTCTCTGACTTCAGTGTTTACCATCTCCCCTCCTCCTCAGACTGTAACCCTCCTGTTTCTCCTTAATGAGGACCCTTGTGATGACATCAGGGCCACCCAGATATTCTAAGATAGTGTCTCCATCTTGAGATCTTTAAGTTAATCACATCCGCAAAGTCCCTTTTATTATTTAAGATAACACAGTCACAAGTTCTGTCGTTTAGGTAGAGGACATCTTTGTTTTTGTTGTTTTTTTTTTTTTAATTTTTTTTTTTTCAAAAGTTTATTTATTTTTGGGACAGAGAGAGACAGAGCATGAACGGGGGAGGGGCAGAGAGAGAGGGAGACACAGAATCGGAAACAGGCTCCAGGCTCCGAGCCATCAGCCCAGAGCCCGACGCGGGGCTCGAACTCACGGACCGCGAGATCGTGACCTGGCTGAAGTCGGACGCTTAACCGACTGTGCCACCCAGGCGCCCCGGTAGAGGACATCTTTGTATGTAATTGTTGAAACATTTCGTTAGATTTATGCACACTTTTCACTTGGTCATGATTCTTGTTAGTTCTATCAAAATTTCTTCGAGAAACACTTAATGCTCATAGGATCTTAGATTTGGGAATATGTTGGCCACTCAGATTACGGCCTGTAGACGAAGGCCTATGCATGAGTTGTTATTGGTCTGCATTAAGTATAGAAATAGAAAGTTTTAGACTTTTTATAACCATTTTACAGAATAATTTTATGTGTGTTCATCTAAGAATTCAATTTAGACTTGTATTTTTTATCCTTTTAAATTTTTGAATCATTCATTTTGTTGTATTTTACAACGCTTTGCTTTATGAGGTATTGGAATAACAAACATACAGCTTTTCATCATAGATAACCTGAGAAAGACTGGCTAAGGAGGTATTTTGGAGTCAGAATAATCTGCTTTTTAAGCCTACTCAAAAGCAGACTGCCTTACCGCACCTGGGTGGCTCAGTCAGTTAGGTTAAGTGTCTGAGTCTTGATTTTGGCTTAGGTCATGATCTCACAGTTCCTGAGTTCAAGCTTTGCATCAGCTTTGTGCTGTCAGTTTGGGATTCTCTCTCTCCCCTTCTCTGCTCCCCTCCCGCACTAGCTCTCTCTGTCTCTCTCTCAAAATAAATAAATAAATGTACAAAAAAAAAAAAAAA